TTGGGCAGCTATCCGGAAGGCCATGGTTCAAACCATCAGCTGCTACACAGAAGAACAATGGGACTGACTGCTCCTGGGCAGATTAACAGAACCCTCTGACAGTGGGATCACCAAAACCAAACCAAACACTGTCGCCGAGTCAGTGCTGACTCATGGTGACCCTGTGTGCATTTCTGAAACTGCAACTATTTTTGGAGTAGAAAGCCCAGTCTTTCTCCAGGAGCTGCTTGTGGTTTCCAACTGCCGACCATGTGGATCACAGCCCAGTGCTGCATAACCACTACACAGGCCGGCTCCCTCCTTAACCTCTATCTGCATGATGATTGATATGGATAAAAGTTTTCATTGTTTTACTGGAGGATGGAAGAATTCTGGGACCAGAGGCCATAAGAATGAAGAGAACGGCTTCGGGATTGCCTCTCTTTCAACCCGGAATAGAATCAGAAGCAACAGAAGCTGATTTTCCTGAGGCATCAAAAGAGTAGTCCTTGGATGGCTCAAATGGTTTAACATTCAACTACTAGGCCAAGATTGGCAGTTCAAACCCATCCAAAGGGGCATAGGAAGACAGGCTGTAAGACCTACTTCTGCAAATCCAAGTGGAACAGCTTTACTCAGCGGACAAGGGGTCACCGTGAGTCAGAATTGACTTACTAGCAACCAAACATGGAAAAGAGAAGCTCCATCTAGCAGCCTGCTTAGTGGCATGCAGAGGAGATGGTACACTCTCCATGTCTGTAGAGAACATAGCTTGGTGTTCGTGTTGTGATGAATAATGAAAACACAGTATCACTTGGCACCTTGAATGTTTGTAGTGCTGGGCACTTCCCACCCCCTATGGGTTTCTGAGAGTAGAAAGCCCAATCTTTCTCCCATGGAGCTGCTGGTGGTTTCAAACTTCCGACCATGTGGATCACAACACATAACCACTATGTTACCAGGGCTACATTTCTCTCTTCTGCAGCCTCTGAAAGTCCCACCCACACACATTCTATCCATGGAAAGTGTGCTCACACCATCTCTTCCTTCCATTCTCTTCTGAACGAATTTTGAGCAGGCTTTCTTCCCATAATCTGACAAAACTATTCTTGGCAAGGTCACCGATGTTTTTCCACAAGCTACAACAATGGTTTTTACAATGAGATATCAACCCATACCCTTTGGAATGGACATAGTGAAAACAAAACAGAAAATAACAAGTGTTGGCAAGAAGGTGGAGGAACTGAAATGCTTCTGCATGGCTGCTTGGAATGTAAAGTGGTGCAGCCAATTCTGGGAACAGTTCGGTGGTTCCTCAAAATGTAAGCACAGGATTGCCAGGAGTCAGCAAGTTCACACCTAAGTGTGAACCAAAAATCACAAGGAAGCAGGGACTCAAGCAAACACTTGTACACTCGTGCTCTTAGCAGCTTATTTACAAGAGCCCCAAAGTGGAAACAACATGGATTTATCAAAAGATAAATGGATAAACAACAGATGGCATATATGGGTATTTACAAGGAAAGATGATCAGACAATAAAGAGAAATTAAGCTCTGATACACGTTGCAACATGGATGAACTTTGAAAATATGCAAAGAAGCAAAAAAGACAAAATGACAAATATTGTAAGGTTTGATGTATATTAAATCT